CTCCACCCACTGCTGGCAGGACTGAGACATCCGGAGCAGGTGGAGTAACGTCTGTCCGTACTGGTCCATGCCCCGGTACGACACGTGCAGCAGGGTGTCGGTCATGCCTGATCGGCGAACCACAGTCTCAGGAGCCAGGTTATGGCTGATAGTAGTGGTCCCTGAATTGTACACAAATATATAGAGTGTGGTTACGAAAATCAGCTTCAACATTTCCAATGGTTAGGAGTAGGTCGGGAGCAAGGTCGGCTGGTGTTCGGCCAGTTCGGCTACTGGTTGGCTGCACCAGCCGAGTGTTTCAAAATATTTGGAATGTTCGTGCGTGGACAGGAGGTTCGGCTGGTGTTTGTAAGTAAGTCAAGACGTGGTTGGCAGTGAAATTCGACTCAAATTCGAGCCAATACGTATTATCAGTCAGGCCTAAATCTGGACAGACTGAGTTCCTGTTTCAAAGGGCCTTGGTAGACTGATGAAAGCTCAATTTGTAGTTTTTACCTTAAAAAAAATTGAGGTATTGTTTTTACATGACTTCCTAGACAGCTGGCAACTGGCGTTGTTTCTATTGCATAAAGAAAGACTTCCTGGTCTAAATGCGTGAATGTCTGAGATCTCCGAACTCTTGTTCTCTTATTTTCATTTTTTTTCTTTTCTTTTATACCATTCTTACCTTCTTGTGTTCCATCCTCCGTTGTCTCCATCGTGCAGTGCACGTAAGATGGCGGCAGTGGTCCCCTACCATCAACATCTATCTTCCACACTCCCGTTCGTCGCTCACCCATTTGGTAATACTCATCACATGAACTCTTGTACAACGCTGTGTGAGAAAATAAGTACGCATAATGTAATTCTGTGGCACTCAAGGTATAGGATAAAAAGCCAGCATCTCCTCGGAGTAAAACCCACCCACAAAAGCCAACGAGATTAATGATCTGTTCCACAACTCCCTCGAAATAGGGGTGTTTTGTGATGAAATACTTTTTACCCTATAAAACTAAACAAATAAACAACGTGCATCATCTCGCTTATATAAGCAGACGGCATGCCAAACTGCACATCAAAGCAGCCAACGGATCGTGAGCTACAGCTGCGAACACAAAAAAAAATCCAACCGAAGGTCACTGACCTCCTTCAAGGAGTAATTATTGTTCTGCCCATGTCTAGGAGCTTGGAAAATATGATAAGACAATAGGACTCACGGAAGG